ACGCCTTTATAAGTGTAAAAAATTCTAAGGTCATTTAAGTTATTTTAACAGAAAAAGCTTATCAACATTTTTTTTATCAAATACTGCAATATTTTATTATCAATTTCAGCACTTGTATCCAAACACGTAACTGCTTATTTATTAAATCAGTTTTCGGCACCTAATGCTTATCAGCTCTTTCAAACCAGCTAATCCAAATGTGCTCTTAATCATCTAATCAACCGTATTCTTGAGTTCCAACTCGATTAATATCTTCCAATTCATGTTATTTATATTTCTCCCGTCTTTGCTTAATTTCTTTTACGTTGTTGTACAATAGTAGGATAGATCTATAGTTTGGCCATCTTTTATATTCCCTCGATTCATTACCTTTCAACATTAAGATATCAAGAGAGTTTTACCAAAATCCTATTCAAGTACATATATGATGGCAGAACTCTATTGCTTTCTAATCCTCCAAGAAAAGTAAGAAATTTCGCATATTTTGACCAATTCAAGGTGAAAAATGGGGTTGTTCCTTCGGCAAACTGGAATAAAGTTGAGCCAAAATATCTCGATTCAAGATAAATTCATGAGGAAGTGATATCTCTTTAGGATCTACTCCAGCGTTTAGAAATTGGTTAATCGGTAAGATAGATGTACTTGATGCCGCTCCCAAGAGAGAGGCCCAAGTCCTAATAGCCCTGCCAAATGGTGATTCTGGTAGTGAAAGAAAGCCCATACCTAACTCTTTACGCTTGGCGCGTTCCCGTGCTACGCTGTTTGATAGAGATTCGAAATACCCTTCCTCGCCGCCACCTTCATTCAGAGGTAGCCCAACTGGAATCTTGTACACTTTCCTTATCTTTCTTTTATTGGTCCAGCCTATACCTATTTCCTCTTGCTTCGCGTGGACGGGCCTCTACCTCATAGAAAATCTTGTTTAGGAAGCTAGCGCTCGCTCTCGCTCCGATATACGTGTATGGGGAAGCACTAATGAAAGTGAACCTTTATTGTTTCCTTTTCTCTTCGAACTGATTAGAAGGAAGGCAGTAGCTCCTCCTACATACTCGTATGTAGATCCTGAACTAAGGTATGATTGCGAACATTATTGAGGTCAGTCTTTTTGGATTACGGGTGACAGGCGAATGCCAAAGTCTGAAAGGTATGAGCAATTTCCACTCTGCTTGTACTGAATACGGTTAATTCCCCGCCACTTACCCAATATTTTAATAGAGGGACAACCATCGGTGAGGCCATTGGACCAATAAACAATAGGCGCAAGTAGCTTAAAATCAAAAAGGGTGAAATCAGCGGCTAATCTACATTTTCAGCCCGAGTTAAGACAAAGGAATGGTCTCACTGAGGGGGAATATGCCTTCATTAAACAAAGAAGCTGAGCGATTGACATCGAATAAGAGTCCGTATGAGAGGAGTGATCAAATTATATTATATTAGGGGTCCCCGAGCCTATCCTTTCTTTTTATCAAAAAAGTTTGTGGACCCATTAATGATACTCGGGAGAGAACCGACCTACTGGTCTTGATCCAATTCTATACGCACTCAATTTTTTTAGTAACAAGAAGCGGGCTAAAGCCACAAGGGGGATGGG